CACAGTTAGACTTGGATCACACATACAGGTGTGGTTTTAACACATCACCTGCAGGAGAGTCCATTCATTTCAATGGGTTTCCCCATGATCTGGTGACATGGAAAAAGAAATTCCAGAATTTTTTCCAAAAATGTGCCACCCCAAACCACAGGGTGCAGTGGCAAGGTGCAGTTTGGTGCACACATTTTGCAAATGCGTGGGATTGCCATTAATCGAATTGCTGTGCATCTGCTAAAGGGCAGCATGTTGCTGTGCATCTTGAAAAAGCATGCAATTTTGCACACATTCCCCACATTCATAGATGTGAACTTAACCATAGCGTGTTTAGTTTACACTTTTGATTGTACATGGTTTGGATTAACACAGGGTTAAATAGAATGGTCATAACATAACTTCACATTATCTGGACATACACAGAGTGATTGGCAGTTGCATATTATAACAGGAGGTTGGTCTCTGTGAGCAGTACCATTGTAATATTTGTTCTATATGTAGAAGAGCGCAGTTTTATTAAATTACAGAAATCACCACGCCCAATATGTGGCATCATCTAGCCACACCCACTGTGTGCCATGGCACGCTATGCGTGCCGCAGGGGACTATCCGCCTGGTAGGGGCCCGATTGCATTACATTGCCCAGGGCCCATGATACTGTTAAGGCGGCGTTGCACATGAAAGGCTCCTGCTTCCTTTATTGGGTTGCCAGGACCTGAAAGTGTTATTTAGCACAATCTATAAATAAAAATCATTTGAATGTTAATATTAATTTGTAACATAACTGGAATTAGATTTTAACAGTGAGCACTTTATACATAAATACATGAACTCTGACATCCACATTATTTGTGTTGTTTAACCAATTCAATACCGGGCAATTTTACACCTTCCTGCCCAGGCCAGTTCTCAGGTTTCAGCGCTCTCACACTTTGAATGACAATTGCGCAGTCATACAACATTGTACCCAAACTAAAATTTTATCATTTTCTTCACACAACTAGAGCTTTCTTTTGGTGGTATTTAATCACCACTGGGGTTTTTATTTTTTGCTAACAAAAAAGACCAAAAATTTTGAAAAAAAAAAAAGTTTGTTTCTGTTATAAAAGTTTGCAAATAAATAATTGTTCTTCATAAATTTAGGCTGAGATGTATTTTACTACATGTCTTTGGTGAAAATAACCCAAATTAGGATGTATTTTTTAGTTTGTAGGAAAGTTATAGAGTTCACAAACTATGGTATAGATCAATCCTGAAGTACTGACGGCCAATCTAATTTCTTGAGGTCCAAGAATGTCAGAATAGTACAGATATCCCCCAAATGACCACTTTTTGCAAAGTAGACAGTCCGACGTACTTCATAAGAGGCATGGTAAGTTTTTTGAAGTCGTATTTTTTTGTCATAAAATATAACTGGCATGGCGGTGATCAGGGACACTGACTGGTGACAGTGTGCAAAAAAAAATTATATACACACACACACACACATATATATATATATATATATATATATATATATATATATACACATATATAATATATATATATATATATATATATATATATATATATACACACACACACATATATATATATACTGTATATACACATATATATATATACATATATATATATATATATATATACACACACACATACACATATATATATACACACACATACACATATATATATACACACATACACATATACAGTGGGGATCGAAAGTTTGGGCACCCCAGCTAAAAATTTGTATTAATGTGCATAAAGAAGCCAAGGAAAGATGGAAAAATCTCCAAAAGGCATCAAATTACAGATTAGACATTCTTATAATATGTCAACAAAAGTTAGATTTTATTTCCATCATTTACACTTTCAAAATAACAGAAAACAAAAAAATGGCGTCTGCAAAAGTTTGGGCACCCTGCAGAGTTAATATCTTGTACTGCCCCCTTTGGCAAGTATCACAGCTTGTAAACGCTTTTTGTAGCCAGCCAAGAGTCTTTCAATACTTGTTTGAGGTATCTTTGCCCATTCTTTCTTACAAAAGTCTTCCAGTTCTTTGAGATTTCTGGGCTGTCTGTCACGCACTGCTCTTTTAAGGTCTATCCATAGATTTTCAATTATGTTGAGGTCAGGAGATTGTGAAGGCCATGGCAAAACCTTCAGTTTACGCCTCTTGATGTAATCCCCCATGGATTTCGAGGTGTGTTTAGGATCATTATCCATTTGTAGAAGCCATCCTCTCTTTAACTTCAGCTTTTTCACAGATGGCATCAAGTTACCATCCAAAATTTGCTGAAATTTTTTTGAATCCATTTTTCCTTCTACTCGTGAGATGTTCCCTGTGCCACTGGCTGCAATACAACCCCAAAGCATGATTGATCCAACCCCATGCTTAACAGTTGGACAGAGGTTCTTTTCATTAAATTCTGTGCCCCTTCTTTTCCAAACGTACCTTTGCTCATTCATGCCAAAAAGTACAATTTTAACCTCATCGGTCCACAGAACTTGTTTCCAAAATGCATCAGGCTTGTCTATACGTTCATTTGCAAAGTTCAAACGATGATTTTTGTGGTGAGGACGTAGAAGAGGTTTTCTTCTGATGACTCTTCCATGAAGACCATATTTGTACAAGTATCTCTTTATAGTGGAATAGTGTACCACAACTCCAGTGTCTGCCAGATCTTTCTGGAGGGATCTTGCAGTCGAACGTGGGTTTTGAATTGCTTCTCTCACAATCCTGCGAGCTATTCTGTCTGATATTTTTCTTGCTTCCAGATCTTGCTTTAACTTCCACTGTTCCTGGTGACTGCCATTTCTTAATTACATTCCGAACAGAGGATATTGACATCTGAAAACGCTTTGCTATCTTCTTATAGCCTTCTCCAGCTTTGTGAGCGTCAACTATTTTCAGTTTCAGTTTTCTAGACAACTGCTTAGAAGAACCCATGGTGCTGATTGCTGGGGCAAGGTCAGATGAGTCTGGGCATTTAAAACCTTTGAGATTGACATAACCTGGTCTTCCCAGACGATGATTGAGAACAATCCATGACACTGGCAGGTCTCAGCTTTGCAAAGGGGGCACTGCATGCTATAAATTCTGCAGGGTGCCCAAACTTTCGATCCCCACTGTATACATATATACACACACACACTTTATTTTTTTTTCAGATTTCACTATGTCCAAAGTAGTACAATGTTACCATAGTAACATTGTACTACTTTGGGAAAGTGATCAGTAAGCAAGCATTTACCTGAATGACAGATTCATTCAGGGGTTTTTTTTGTGCTTAGCTGTGATTTGGCCACAGCTAGTCACATGACATGTGCATGTGATCATTCACAGCTAGGCAGTAGTATACAAGGGATGGCATGAATGAAGCCATCCATTGTATACAACTGTCATGTGACCTGCTGTGATTGGTCACAGCAGGTCACATGGTACCGGCAATGGGGGACGGTACTCAGATCTGTCATTGGCCGTGTCCGAGGTACACGGCCGGTGACAGATCGTGCCGCTGCACGGCTCTGCAAGCGCGCGGGAGGAAGTCATATGGCGGCCTCCTGGAAAGGTAATACATTTTTGCGGACGCCATTTGGCCATAGGCGTCAAATGGTTAATAGCCAAAGTCCCAATGCAACTACAATCTCCCTCCCATTTCTTTCACAGTTGTCAATTGGACAGGAAGCAAAGGGAAATCTAAAAAAAAAAAAAAAAAAAAAAAAAAAAAAAAAAAAAAAAAAGTGTACGCAGAGAAAAAAAAAAAAAAAAAAAAAATGTATATATAAATATATATAAATAATTTTTTTTTTTTTTTTCAGTTCTGGGCACTTTCACAGTGAGAATCAAGGTTATACCCCAGGATTCTCAACCATACAGGGGAGGAAACTGGCTCTTCAGTTTCCTCAATTTTCTGTAAAGTCTGTTTTTGGGATCTGGAGCCTGGAGATTTCAAAGTGATCTGGGAGGGATGAAATCTCCAATCCTGGGTCCATGTTTTATGAACCCCCACCCACACCAATTGTACAGGTGTGTGCAGCGCTTTACATAATAACCTGACTAGGGTTCTGGCCTCCACTCCCACAGACAAGAGGTCAGTGCCCTGGAGTCAAGAGAGCTCCACCTAGGAGAGGTGGAGAAAGAGCAGCAAGAGGCTGCTAGCTGTGTGCTGAAAACCATTTTGGAAGGAGTCTGTAGGAGACAGCTGTGAGCCTAAAGTGGAAGGCCAGAGAGGCAGAACTCTGTGTACAAGCCAGGAGGCTGATTGTTTGATGGTGGATACCCTTTTGTGGAACTTTTTAAATTGGGCTAAAAATAAATAAATAAATGAATAACACGAGTGGCTGTGTGCTGGAAAAAACCTCTACCATTTGAGGCTAGTTCTCAAATTATTATAATAAATTTTTATATATATATAAAAAAAAAAAAAAAAAAAAAAAAAAACAACACACACACACACACACACGTTGAAATGTTTTTTTTGGATATTACAAAATATAAAAAAAAATATATATATTTTTTTTAAATAGATTTCAAATATATTTTTCTTTCATGTGGGAAAGTTTTTAACTTTTCCCTTCTCTGTTCAAAACTTTTATTCAGTAGCACCTAAGCAGCAATTTTTATACTAAGATGGTTTTAAGTACTGAGATTAAAAATGGGTTTTGTACCTCAAGTTGTATTTTTAAGTCATGTTATCATCAAGGAGAATCAAAAACACTGACAACAGATTTCAGAAATGGTAAAAGACTTTAATGGAGGCACAAGTGATATACATCCATTACAAAAAGGGTAGCTGCGCACACATCCAGCTGTCAAAACACATAATGTAGTTAACGTCATGCAGCAAGCTTTTATTATTATGCAGCTCCAAGTTTATTTTATGGACACATTGCCATTACTTATTTTGCCTGTGAAATCTATGTGCATTTAATTTTTATACTGTAAAATTGCTAATACAGATATGTCTAGAGAAGAATGAATGATACAGTATGTACTTTGTTTAGCCCACCATGCCCTTTGATTCACATTTCACTGTAGGGTCATATTTTGGAATCAGGTTGTAAGAACAGCTTGCTTTGTCAAACACAGCCTCACAGTTCTCTTCATCATATCCGATTGGTGTACCATATCTATATAAAAAAAAAAAAAAAAAAAAAAAAAAATTGCTAAAAATTATTTTACAGCAAAGAAGCCAAATACCATAAAACAAGTATAAACAGTTAAAAAAATAAAGGGCTCATTCCCTCTCTAGATGGCTATATAAAGCAGCGGTGACACTCAGTTTCCCATGCCCCAGACGATGTCATTTTTGATGAAATGAGTTAGTGGAGCTTGTGATGTCTGACATCACATGCTGCTTTCTAACACCAGGACATGTACCTGTTCCCGGGATATGCGGTTACTCTGCACACAGTGCTGATTTGCCCACCTGAATGCGAGTGCAATACTTTATAATAGACGTGTTTTATGTGCTGGTCGCTCCTTTGTATGGCCATACTGAGAGGTATTATCGTGAGATTAAGAATGGAGAGGAATTGAAGGCAATACTTCTATCCAATACCATGATTTAACTTCTTCAAATTCTGAGGGATTCGGTGGATATATTCTCATGCATTGTTCACAAGGGTCCATATGTTCTGGCAAGATTCCTACCATTTTTTGGTGATGGAGCACCAATTATATTGAAGACACGTGGTGATCTACTATATGGTTCAGAACACTGGGACTATTTGAACATTTGGACTCATTTATGTTAGCACTTATACGGTTGTGATAGTTTCCCAGTTGTGATATTTGAACGTGGCAATTTATAAAAAAAAAAATAAAAAGGGCAACTATAATGGTTTGGCTACAATTTAAATTTTGCTTGCTTGACTTTTACCATTTACATAAATTCATTTTAAAGCTGAACTCTGGGGAAGTTAAAAACTACCATTGCATTGTTGCTGTCCCCAGATTGTAAGGATGAAATGTTTTGTTGTTGTCTAGGATAACATTAAAAAAAAAAAAAAAACATTTTACTATATTATTTGCCCCCCCCCCCCCCCCAACAGCCAATGCTTTTTTTTTCCCCGATGCTCCAGATTTTGAGCAGGCCCTCAGTGTCCTCACAATGCAGACGTTTTAGTCCTAGCTTGCATGAAACATCAGCATGCAACCAATGACACGGCACTGAAGAAAAGCTGGCTCCAGGGAACTGATCACACGGAGTGAGAGCAAGATAAATAAATAAATGGGCTTTTTAATGTTCCCTTACACAAAAATGAGCATTTGACCCTTGCCATGTTGGGACACCCCAGTTCAAGGATAGTATTTAAAGGTCTCCAGAGTTCACCTTTGAAGAAGAACATTTATTACTAGATGCACTCAGGATTATCCTGTGAAGAAAAAAAAAAAAAGTGCAGAAGCAGTTTGCTTTCAGACAGTCTGTTTAAATGAAAGTCCATACCTAGCCATATAAACCACTGAGCCCTGTTAAGAGCAGCCTTTCACCAAAGCACCCCAGTGCAAACCCATGTCAAATATTCACCAAGTTAAATAATGCATAAAATGGTCACAGCTTATTAAAGCATAGTTCTGCCTAAAAGTGAAGGGGGGGGGGAAGCTGATACCCGTTTATGACAGGTACCCACTCCACTTCCAGCCTAGTTCCCTGCGGCAAAGTGAGCCGGAAGTTCAGCCCCCTCTTTCCTCCCACAGTTTCCTGGGAACCTTCACAAGTCCCAGAAATCTATTAGACGGATTGGAATGCGCATGCACAGCGGGCACCTGGATGGGAAGCTGCAAGCTATCACAGCCTGGTGCCCACAGTTGAGATGCCAGCACCAGGTGGAGAAGAGGGTGAACACGTCCCTGGACCCTGGGACAGGTAAGTGTGTTCCAGGAAGCTGCTCATGGCTGGGAAATGGGAATATATGCGGTTTTATCAATTTAAGAATGTAAGCACATTTAATAAATAATCTGGATCATTTTAAGTGAATATATTACACTATGTGGCAATTTTTCCTCTATGAACGGCATTGTAAGGCATGAAAGCATGAGTGGAATGAAGGGATAACCTGAATTTAATCCTGGGAGTTTTCAATGTTGGAGCGAGAATCCATGGGATTATTTTGAAGGCTTTCATACCTTTTTAGGTCTCTTTCTTTGGAGGTATACATCTTTTTGGAAATACACAGGGATGATTAATCAAAACTTGGAAGAATAATAGTTTGGAATTTTTGGACTTCTCATTTCTTCATTTTCATGGACACTAGAAAGGTTTATTATTTATGATTTTGGACTTTCAATGGTGAAAGTGGGACTTTTGATGTGATCGAGATATAGATATATAATAAATAATTTTAGCACAATTAGATATAATTTTGGATACTGAATTTTATATCACTGTTTATTAAAGTCAGCAGCTACAGTTTTTGTAGCTGCTTGCCTTTAACAAAAAACGGCAGGAACTCCATTTTAATATAGGTCAATTGTAAGGAAGTGATTTGTAGATAATCCCATGGGATCTTAAGTAGAAGTTACACACTTCTTTTGAAGTGAGGTAAAAAAAAAAAAAAAAAAAAAAAAAAAAAAAACACACACACAACTTGGGAAAGTAAAGACTTCTGTAACTGGAGAACTTGCCAATAGCAACCAGTTAGGTCACATCTTTTTTTGCTTGGGAAAATGAAACACGGAAAATGAAACCTGATTGGTCACAATAAACATGAATTCTAATTTTGATTTTCCAATTGTATAATCACCCTAATTTTTTTTTCCAAGGTTTGCCTTTCTTATTAAGGTCTCATTCAAGTAGGCATACTACAGCTTACAACTGTGCGAGGGTCCTGTTTATTGTGCAGAGTGCATTCGGGGCAGTGTACCTGCATAGATGTCAAAATTGGGAACAGCCACTGTGTCCTTGCATCTGCTGTTTCCCAATTGAAATTAATGGGACTACCGGCATGGAGGTGTACAGAACACCTCTTCATGCTGGTAAATATGGACCTTGCATGACAGTATGCTGTAGCACGCCCATGTGAACAAAGCCTTAAAGATAGACAAAAGTTGACAGTGTAGAATTTTCTTCAGATTTCTTTAACTTAACTCTAAAGTGATGTTACATTTAAACTTTAAAGTGATAAAAATATTTAACTTACGTTGAACAACATTTCATGGATCCATCTAAAAAACACCAACATTGGTAACAGTTTTTTAGTTTTCCACTCAGAACCAAGTTCATGTGTTTCTCCGTTATGAATGCACCCTGGAGACAAATTTTATATTGTTATGTGGCAGCTTTGCAAAATCTGAAGACAATTCATATAGGTAGCATCAAGACAGTTTTGAATTTACATATAGATATTAGAGCCACATGGTGATATTTGGACTTGTGAACATTACGGCCAATTTACACCTATGCATTGCAGTAAGGATTAAGGTCCTCTGCAGTCTTTTCCGCATACATGCTTACTAATATAAATTTAAAGTAAAATCAATGTAAATAAATATAAATTTTGAACATTGCACAAGAAAACATTACATTTCTGATAGCACTCTCAGACCAATCACATAGGCTTGAAGGCCACAGTGAAACATGAAAGCATTAAAGTGGTTGTAAAGGCTGAAGGTTTACCTTCAAACATTCTATGCATGAAAAAAAAGCACACAGGTGGCGCAAACACCTAGTGCATTGTCCAAGGTTTATTAAAAATATATAAAAGGACAAAAAATATACTCACAAACATAGCGTGTATGTAAACCCTATAAGGCCATAGAAATGGCACCAAGGATGACAGAGTGTCTGACTGATGGTGTGGTCGGCCTGCTATCAGTCAGACACTCTGCCATCCTTGTGGCCATCTCTATGGCCTTTTGGCTTTATATACATGCTATGTTTGCGAGTATATTTGTCCTTTTATATATTTTTAATAAACCTTAGATAATGCACTAGGTGTTTGCACCACCTGTATGTTTTTCCAGTTTGTAGATCTCCCAATCTGAGGAGAGCTGCATCTCTGGCACGTTATCCATAGGCTATGTACGCATCTGATCCCCTGGATCGGCTACCTTGAGGCGCTGGAGAATTTATACTTATTCTATGCATGGTTAAAAAAAAAACCTTCTGTGTGCAGCCCCCCCCCCCAATACTTACCTGAGCCCCCTCTCGATCCAACAATGTGCTCGGGAACCTTGGCTCTCCCGTGTCTCCCTCTCATTCACTGAAACACAGCAGCGGGACCGGAGCCATTGGCTCCCACTGTTGTGAATCACAGCCAGTAAGAGTGGGGGCAGGTGGGGCCAAGCTGCAGTGCATGTGTCTTATGGATGCATAAAGCGAGGCTTGGGAGCAAGCACACACACCAGTGCCCCCATAGCAAGCAGCTTGCTATGGGGGCACTGGTCAAGAGGGAGGAGCCAGGAGCACTGACAGGAGACCCAAGAAGAAGCCACTGCACAGAGCAGGCAAGTACACACACACACACACACTTTTAGTATCGCGTTAAAATCTAACTAAACAAATGGACTCTCTAGCACTAGGTTATTGTGACAGTAGAAGGGGCAATCCATCTTGGTGCAGTCCCTAAGTGAGCAGTTCTCCCTGTGTATATATATAAAGATATATAGTAGTTATTTACTAATAGATACTGAACAGGTACAGACTACTCTGAAAAGTTACATCAATATGCACGGTTTATATAAAAAAATATGAACCAAGGATTTCTAGTGGACCATTTAAAAATGGGTATTTGCAAAAATCTGAATCTCTACTCTTAATGTTGTCATTTGAGAATCATGGAGGCAGCTGAAGTCTCCTGAAAATTTTAGCTGCCTCACTGTTGAGCTGGAGCTCTGGTCTCAATACTATATTTCTATGTATAGTGCACTGTACATAATGAACATACATTTATCATATTTGCATGGGGGTCAGTAAGTGAAGGGAAAAAGAAAAAAAATGATAAGCTGTTCAGATCATTCATTGTCCATTGTAATTCTTTGTCACTGACTTACCTTTGGGCTCTTCACCCAGTTCCATTTCTTGAGGTTCTTTTCTATAGCAGCCTGCATTGCATACAGCCAATATACTGGCTCCAATCAATACAACCACAAGTTGTCTCTGAAATGTAAATGAATCTTGTCAAAGCAAAAAAAACACTGTTCATGGATTACTTTTAATGTACTTTTTTCTTTAAAACATGGTTTCTACTACAAACTTTATTAATTTTGTGCAACAAATATAAACAATATTTGTTCTGTTTCTTTAGGTGTATGTCCAGCCAAAATTTGTATTTTCTTAATTTTGGATGGAGTGGGGAAGGGTTAGAACCTATATGATGGACAGCAGTAGCTAAATGGCTAGCACTTCCGCCTGGCAGTACTAGGGTCGTTGGTTTGAATCCCAGACACAGCACCACCTACGTGGAGTTTGCATGTTCTCCCTGTGCCTGCGTGGGTTTCCTCCCACACTCCAAAGACATGCTGGTAGGTTAATTGGCTACTGTCTAAAATGGCCCTAATATGTGTATGAATGCAAGTTAGGGACCTTAGATTGTACACCCCTTAAGGGTTAGGGACTGATGTAAAATGTACAATTTATGTGTAAAGCGCTGTGTAAATTGATGGCACTATACAAGTACCTGAAATAAAATAAATATGATCTGGGTCTCTAAAAAAAACCTACCATCACTTTCTGTCCTGATGCCAAATTTATCAGACAGGAATTGAAGGGAACTTTCAAAAGCAACACAGACAGAAATAAAATGCTTTTCTTAAGTAAGGTAGGAAAAAAGCTAGATCCCCTGTTAGAGGTTTATTTTTGGATAGAAAAGGTTGAAACTGCAGACCAAAAAGTTGAAACAAAGTGCTTTTATTCCAGTAGTAAACTTATTATCCAATTTCAGGGGTCTCTCTGCCCTCTTTATCAGGGCTTAAAAGAAAGCCTTTTGGGGTACTCAAGCTGTGACCAAAATCTGGGTGAATATATTAAAAACCTTGAATTCCCATCTCGGCTGATAAACACAGTAGCAGATTTTATTTTTGGCTTGACTTAAACTTTAACTTAAAAGTAAAAAACACAATAAGTAACCACATTCTAATATATTAGAATAGCTAAAGATAGTCATTACTGAGACATGGGCTCATCCCCAAAAGGACTGACAAGATGTTCTCAATTTGGCTGAAAGATAGAGGCACACATAATAAAGACCTAAAATCCACTAAGCTAAGTAGAATTCTTTTGCAAAGTCTGCATGCTCTACTGACATAGTAAATCAGGGTCAGTGTATTTATTAACACTACCATTAATAACAATAGCCATGAACCACTTACCATCTTGCAGGATTCTGTGCATTCATTAAACATTGAGAGGGGCTGAGATTCCTTATTTAAGCCCTGAAAGCAGTTGCTCTTGCACAATCCTTTACCAATGAAATGTTAGAGCAACATACTTTGCCAGATGACCTTTTTTTTTTCAATCACATAACGATGTGATGGAATTCAGCTTTTGTCAATTGTCTATGTAAAGCCAAACATTTTGTCTAGTTTTGGACAAAGTGTTCCCTGACCAGTTTTTATTATTGATTGCATGTGAGTGGATAATGGACGTCAGCAGAGATTCTGCTCCTTTACTAAGCTCTGGAGCAATTGCACTTGTAGAGTACAACTGCACTTTGCAAAGCGCACAGTCTATTTGCCTTTAGTAAATAATCCCAATTGGGTCTATGGACACACACACTCCGCCTCAGAGGTGTGCCCCCATAGCACATGGCTTGCTAAGGGGGAACACGCAGAAGGGGAGCACCTGAGGGGGACTCTAGAAGAGTTGGTAAGAAACAATTGCACAAAGCAGGTAAGTATTACAGACATACGTGAACCTCAAGACTAAAGCTGGCCACAGATGGATCGAATCTTGGCTGGTTCAGCAGGGATCGACCAAGATTCATTCAACCTATGGGCAGGCTGGTTGTACTGAAGTCGATCCATTGATCGACTTCAGTACAACAAAAGCTTGTTGGATTTTTTTTTCATGCAAACACTGCTAACTGTTATAGCCTCTAGCAGTGATTACTGTGTTCTGCTGGCCTGGGCAGGCTTCCTACTCACAGAACAGGATAGCTCTGCAGGAGGCATTTATCACCCATGGTGGAAGGAAAGAAAATTGTATCATCTATGACCTGCCTAAGGATAATTTTTAGGTGCTCATTAACCACTTCCCGTCCGGCCCATAAACGGCCTTGCGGGAGCAGTGCAGGAGTGGGTTGCAATTCATAAACGGCGCCCGCATTTTCAGGTTGTGCGCGCTCCCTGGGAGCACACGGCACCGTGATCTGGTGCCCGCTGTGTCCGGAGGAACACCGATCGCTGTACAGGGCCTCTGTGTGAGGTCCCGATCGTGTGATCAATGATTGCCCAATCAGTGATCACATGAATAGTAGTATGTAAAATGTCATTTATGACATCATTGCTTACTACATGTAAAATCTGTGAATGATCACAGAGGTCAGCTGGTACAAGGTTATTCACAACAGCCTTGTACCATGTGACAAGCTGTGACCAATCACAGCTCTCACAGTATTTCTCAATGGCTGCAAGAATGCAGCCAGAGAGAAGGAGAAATGATTCCTTTTACAGCCTTTATGCGTGTAAAAGCAATCAGTGTAAAAAAAAAAAAATCTTCATTACCCCCCCAAGTAGTATGGTGACACTGTACTGCTAGGATGACAGTATGTTAAAAAAAAAAACATAAAATAATAATATAAAGAAAAAAAATTAAAAATGTAAACTTTTTTTAAAAAAATTATAATTTTTGGTTATAAACTAATTTGGGTTATTTTTTTTTTTACAAAAAAGATAACCAAATACATTTTGGCCAAGATTTATGAAGAAATATTATTTATTTGCTAAATGTTTAAAAATTTTTCATTTATATAGCAAAAAAAAATAAAAATCCCAGTGGTTAATAAATACCACCAAAATAAAGTTTTATCTGTCTAAAAAAAAATGCTACAAAATTCATATGGGTACAGTGTTGTTATTCAAAGTGTGATCACACCGAAAGCTGAAAATTGGCCTGGACAGGATGGGGGTAAAAGTGTCTGGACTTGAAGTGGTTAATACTTCTCCAAAGCTATGCATTTCATTAACGCATGTTACATTTTGAATGTTACCCTACTGCACAAAGGAAAGTAACTTTGATGTACATGCATTACTATGCATTGTGGTGTACTGCATCAAAAAAACATGCTGCATGTCCATTTTTTGTCCATTCTAGGGTGTAGGCAGCCCATTCAAAATAAAGGAGCTGCCTTAATGCAACTCACTTTAATTCATGACTCTACACTAATGCAATAACACAATGCTTGAGAAAGAAGTTTGTTTTGTCCTCCAGAGATATTTAGAGATATTAAGGGCTCGTTCACACTTGACTGTTTTACCAACTCTTGCCAAACGCCCCTATAGCGTTTGGCAAGCGTTGGTCCGGCGTTTGCAGAGCGTTTTTTAACGCTCAGCAAATGCCACATGCGTGGTTCAGCGGCGGTTGCTAGGCATTTACTGAGCATTAAAAACGCCCCACAAACGCCTATAATGAAGTTTGAATGGTGTTACTGCTCCACAAATGCCCCGCAACTGCGTCGCAACCGCACCACAAACGCCGGCCGGGCGCTTGCGGAGCGGCACCATAGACTAGAATAGGAGGCTTCAACGCCTCCTGACTCGACCAGAGGTGTTCGTTTTGCCGCGACACGATGCTAACACTCCCGTTCAAACAGCACCATGTGCTGCAATGTGCGGAATTGTCCGAGACGTTTGGGAAGCGGTAAAACGCTTCCCAAACGCCTTTCTGCCGCTTGCACACAACGCTAGTGTGAATGTAGCCTTAGGCAAAAAAAATAATGCGCTGCCAAATAATGAGAATAATAATACATGAGCTGCTGCAAACACGTGTTATGTGTGTAAATATAAAAAACAGACTAAAACAAATGAAAGTGTCGCACTACTAGTATATATCAATACAAGTAAATATATACGAACAAAAATGTGACTGATAGTCCCAAAAGATGATAAAACATAAAAATTAACGTAATTCTTCAAAAAAATCCAAATAATTGAAAAATTTCCTGCTGGTGGTTGCACCCAAAATCCCAGTGCTGTAAATCTTCAATACATGTGAATCACCACAGTGAACATGGACTTCCAGGTGGACTCTCACCTTCTCGCATGGACATGTATGTGGACACAGGTCAAACAAAGCATCTCCCCTATTAGTGGGGGTAACACATAACTTGCTACTCTGTGCACTCTTCCCATTATGAATCACCACTGGACCTCCACAAACGGCACCCGATTTCAGTACAGCCAGCTCTGAGGATAAAGCTCGACAACCACAAAGTAGACCACCTGCAGGAATATTTTTCACTTATTTGGATTTTTTTGAAGAATTGCATTTATTTTTATGTTTCATCATCTTTTGGGACTATCAGTCACATGTTTGTTTGTATATTAACATGTTTTGATTTATGCTAGCAGCGCAACACTTTTATTTGTTTTACTCTGCTTTTTATATTTAGAGATATCAAGCCAAGCCTGTTTCCCATATTGATCGTGTTCTGAGGAACTGCGTTGGGAGATTGTCCAGATAAAACAACATTTTCTCTGGTAAAAACAAGGAAAAAAACACCCGCTGCTTTGTTTAACTCCTGCTGCTAGCCATCTACAAACTTATATTTGTGGTTTATATTGTGGTTGAGGAATACACTCCTTACATTGGGAGTCAGAAGCAGGTCAGAAGACTGTATCCACTTTTATATTGTTGGTCAGTAGAAGAAAGATTTCCCCCAACATTGGTGGATAGTAGCAAGATGATCCTCAGGTTTGTGGCCGGTGGCCATCTTGGATATGACGGATGTCCTTAGGCATTCTGGGCATTTCTTCACCACGTGTGGCCACTTATGGGGTGTATTTAGGTGCGGCCCACCAGCATTGCTTCCCTCCCTTGCTTGTACCTTGACCAGGGGCGGACTGACCATTTGGAAATTCAGGCACTGCCCGAGGGCCCGGGGTCAGTAGGGGGCCCCATGAGATGCCCTTGGAACCTTTTTCATAGGCTTTTTTGAGTTTGGGCAAAGACACAGGGGCCCCATGATCCCCTATTGCCCGGGGGCCCCATGAGTTGTCAGTCCTCCCTTGACCTTGACGGTCATTTTGGAGTGTTAGTCATTAATGCTACTGGGTTATAGTGTTAGGAAACTCTAGTTGCTTATTTTTACCTAAAGTAGTTTTATAATAAAGCTTAGCTGTAGGTAGAATGAATATCTGCTAAATGTGCATTGTGTAGGAGATATTCTATTGAGCAGCAGCCAGTAATGTCACCGGCACATGCACTCTAAAGGAACTTCATACCCATGCCGCTCCTTCAGAACTGTGTACCGTAGTCAGGACTCCCGCATGCAAGCATGGCAGTAAAATCATCACGGCTCGGCCATTCAAGCAGCCACAGCCTGCAAACCTGGAAGGAAGACCGCTGAAAAAGGAAGCCCTAGCAGCAGTGACAGCTCGCTGCTGGTTGGCTTCTTTTTAAGGTAAGTCCTTCAGAATGTGCTAATGTAATGATGTGTGATGCATACTAATACATTGTGCCTTTGCCTTGCAAAGGGAAACTTTTTTTTTTTTTTCAAAGCATTTACTACCATTTTAAGGTAAGTCTGTAGGCTGTATGGCATTTGTCTCTATTGCTTATCGCACTTTAGCTGATTTAGTTTGGATAATATAATGACATTTGAGCAATGTTTTGTGTAGGTTGTGGTTGCATACAGCCTTCCTATTATACTTTCAAAACTTATCTTATCTTTCCACCACATAACACCTACTGTGTATATAAATGTGATGGAGGGTAAGCGGGACAGAACACACAAGGCAGATGGCAAACACTTAAAGCTTTATTAAAACAGACAACAGTCACTCATTGGGGAGAAGTGCAGAGAGAAAGCCCAAAATACTTTGTAATTCAGCCCGGTGGGCAAAGTTAAAGTCTCTACAGCGCTTTGTAATCCAACAGGGAGGTAAGAGGCAGTTCATAAACAGGTCAGATAACACAGGAGTAGCATACACTCACGCAGAGCTGATGTGATAGTCCCAGATAGAGCTGGCAGAGTCTCAGGCAGAGCTGGTGTGGTGGTCTCAGGCAGAGCTGATGTGGCTTCTGGGGTCTCCCTTACTCCAATGGGGCTCAGGCAGAGTCTGGGCCACTAGAGTCCAGCCGCAGCTGGATCCCTCAATGGCTGCACAGCAGAATCGAACATCGGGAGAGACCAGCACTGACCTCTTAAACCCCGGGGCAGGACGAAAGGTGGAGGGGGGTCATTAGCAGGATGACAATGGAGGGAAGGCCTTAATTGAGTTTAGGGACATTTTGGATGACAATGGAGGGAATGGATAGGAAAGGAAATACAGTAATTGAATTTGTAGCTGTAAACAGGAGGGCAGTGGGGAGGATATTACATTTGGGCAGAAAAGCAGGTCGGACAGGATGGTCAAGAAAACACAATAATTAGATTTGCAGCTGTAAACGGGATAACAGTGGGGAAGAATATACATTTGGACACAAGCCAGGATGGACAAGATGGACAGGGAAGGAAACACAATCATTGAATTTGTAGCTGTAAACAGGATAACAATGGGGAGAATACACTAATTGAATTTGGGACCATTTGTGGAGGGGCGTGTTAATTACAGCTAGGGGCCTTTGGCACACAGGAGAAGAATACTAATTGGAGGATGCTCTTCCTATGGCCAGGAGGGATTAAAGGAACAAGGAAATAATAACTGGGCTGTCAGAGAACTCATATTGTGACAATCCGGATCATTAAGCAGGAATTAATAATTGGCCAAGCCCCTATACCGTGACAATATATATATATATATATGAGCTTTATGGAGTGGTTATATAGACTGGATTGGAAATTTAACCATATAAGGTACAGTCACTTTTTTCTGTGCTGATATGTAGTGGTTTATTCAGCCTACACATTGATTTCTGTATGATTAGAGACAGCGGTGGACTGACCATTCGGGCACTTGGGCGCTGCCCAAAGACCCGGGGTCAGTAGGAGGCCCCATGAGATGCCCCTGGTACCTTTCATAGGCTTTTTGGGTGTGGTTTGAGTGTGGGCGAGGACACAGGGGCCCAATGATCCCTTATTGCCTGGGGCCCCATGAGTTGTCAGTTCACCCCTGGTGCCAAGTGTAAAGTTTGGTGGAGGGAGATTATGGTGTAGGATTGTTTTTCAGGGTTGGGCTTAGCCCTTTAGTTCCAGTGAAGCGAACTCTTAAGGCGTCAGCATATCAAGACATTTTGGACAATTTCATGATCCCAACTTTGTGGGAACAGTTTGGGGATGGCCCCTTCCTGTTCCAACATGACTGCCACCAGTGCACAAAGCAAGGTCCATAAAGACATGGATGAGCGAGTTTGGGATGGAGGAACTTGACTGGCCTGACTGTCCTGACCTCAACCCGATAGAACACCTTTGGGATGAATTAGAGTGGAGACTGTGAGCCAGGCCTTCTCG